TCATAATTAAAGTTTTGGTGTTTAGCAGATTGTATCAGTATGTTCAAATACCTCAAGGAGAAATATTGATGAACTGCTGAAGGGTCAGGGGGGAGGTGGTCCATAAGAATACCATTTTAAATTTGATTTCAGCAATGGGATTTCCATGCAGTGTTCTCGGAGAATATCTTACCGTTGAAGCACATTTATTCGAGTCAGAAATAAGTCATCAATATCGTGCACTTTCAAAGGACGCAATAAAGTTTTAAAGTCGACATGTAATGTCGACAAATATACTTTGAAACATTTAAATTCACTAAGCATACTTTTGCCACATCAGAAAATTTTAACTTTTTAGATAACTTCTTGTTTATGCGTGAGATTCATCATATTATGCGTGTGAGCGTGAGACCTAATCCTGAATAATGTATCTCACACATAATGCGTGAAACTTGGCATGTATGTTTGAGCTCTAATCAACTCCATGGAAACACAAAGCTTTTTTCTTTATTAGCCTTCAATATTGTTTTTAAATTTCCTTTTCAAACATGCCACAAATTATCTAGGTTTTGGATTTCTTCCTCAGATGTCGAAATCTTTATAACGATCACTAATAAGCCTTTAAATTGGTAGTCTACTATATATTTTGAAGAAACATTTATACTTTTTGATTTTTGAAAAATAAACTTGTGTTATTTATGCTTTTTCTCAAATTAATCCTTTCACCATGAATAAACTATTGACATAAAATTTACGACAAGTGAACAACATCTGTTTGAGTGTAATATATCGAGGCAATAATAGAGACACTCGTGTGAGTGTCAGTTATTTCTAAAAAGGTTTTATTAAACTGCTATTTGTTTCTGATTTTACTAAAAATGTCTTTAATACTTAAAGAAAAATTTTTGTTAAGGCAGAGCGATGTGAATGTGATGTGATCATGAATGCATATTGAGTAAAGATATTACAAGTAACCTCTTTACTCAATATGCATTCATGAATAATTATAAAATAAACACGATAAAACGCGTGTGCTGAATGGTCTAGAGCTGTGCTTGCATTAAACTGTGCAAAACACATCTGAGCTCAAACAATCAGATTAATCAGTCAAAGAGAATTTGCAAATTGATCATGAATACATTTTAAAGGAGAAATTAAAACTTTACTTTAAATTTGTCTGTTTCGCGCTATTGTTATTTTATAAAAGAAATAAAAGATGTTTTTCGTGTTTGCACTGGTTTGTGCAAACCTCGGAGAGGTTTGTGAGAACTCTCAAGCACTTACAATCTTGTTCTCTTAAAGGTCTCCTCAACCCAGCTCTCCCAAAGGACTCCTCGGTTTGCATAAGCCTGTGTTAATACAGTAAACATCTTTTATTTCTTAAATAATTAGTGTCAAAAATACACGACAAGCAGTCTTTCATCTATTCTGACATCTGACATCAGGAATGGACATCAGAGTATTTGTACAATTGATTTTAATGCTGGTAATCAACTTGGTCGTTTTATTTTGTGGGTTGATTTTGAATTCTCTTGTGGTTTTATGTTGGTTAAAATCATCGCATCTTCGAAAGAAAGTTTGTTACTTCACAATTTATTTGTTATCCTTCGCCGACCTGCTGACGGTAGTTACAAATTGTCCTGTTCTGATCACAGAATTGATACTCTGGATTAGTGAAAACGAATTACCTTTGAAAATGCTCATTATTTCTCTTTATTTCGATGTATTTCTTTCCTTTTCTATCTTTACTCGATTGTTGGTAAGTTTTGAACGATATTTGGCAATTTTCATCCAATATTTCACCACACAAAAGTAACTAAAACATTGCTCATTAAATTGCATTTTGTTCTTCTTTTTCTTTCCACCATACTGTTTGTGTTACAAGTAACAAAAAGTTCAATGGCAATGGCAATACTTTTTTGTTTACTGTTTATTTTCCCATTTACTTACATCAACACTAAGCTCCACATTATCTCAAAGAAATATCGTCGAAAGAATGTTGCAAAGCACAGTCAGCTTTCAAAAAAGGGAAAGTCTTTTGTTAAATCCATATCAACGTGTCTTCTTCTGGTAGTTTGTGTTTCGATTTGCTTTATGCCAACGATCATAACTACAATCTTCTGCGCAATTCAAAAAAACACCGTATGTTATCTTAGCTATACATGGGCGAAAACATTTTGGTGTGTCAACAGCACAACTAACTGTTTAATGATATTTTGGCGCAACAAAAACCTTCGTTCTGAGGCGATGAAAATATTAAAACAGTTAAGCATTACTTCAACATAATTTTGATTTACTATATTTATTTGACTTTGGTTCTTGACTTACAACTATAATTAAAGCTACAGCTAATATTGTATAATAAAAATGCGCAATAAGACTGGAGTAATGTAATATTCTTGCCATCAATGTTAATATATCATTATTTTATGAATAAAAACTAGTATAAGGCTGTAAAATATAACAAATTCTGAATCAAAGTAAATTAAAAAAGTAAACATCTTTTTTATATACAGGACAGGAAACGATAGTTTTGAGACCAGTCTGTAACATTTCGTGTCTTTACTCGAAAACACATCGTCTTACCAAGTAAATTACAAACCACATGTAAAATACTCGTATAGTTATCTAAAACAACGTGGAAAACGTAACTGCATTTTACAATAAACAGTTCATGGTAGGATTATTGTTTTACGATACGATATTTTAGTATAAGCTAAAATTAGATAAAATGATTGTATGATATTGTTGAAAGCTAAGTGAATGACATCACCCTTCGAGTTGAGTAATATGAGTAAGTGAGAACAGATGTGAATTGAAAATGGCGTTTGTGCATTTAACCAGATGTTGAGATCTTGGTTGAGATTATGAACTAAAATTGTAGTATTGAGTATCTTATCTATAGTAAGTGGCGTATAGTCTTAGTATAGTGTCTCACCTTCAGCTCGTGTTTCGTGAGCTTTTCTTAACTTTTGTTGATTTCGGCGTGTTTTGATGAGGCCATTCAAACACGGTAACCGTTTAGCAATTGTTTGTTACCGCAAGTGTCTTCACTCCCCCATAATGGCGGGTAGTAAAAGTTGGTGAGGAAGTCATAATGTATGTGCAAACATTCCATACTTATATAAACTACAATATGCATCATGAATTTATTGTTTCATTGAGCTGAACGTAATGAGCGTCAGAAAACTGTTTTGAAAGGCAATTAAGTCGTTAAATTACCACAAATTGAGCTTGTGAATACAGTCACGCGATCAAAGAGGTGTTCACTTAAACAAATTTGACGTAAACAATATTAAACATGTTGTATTACTTAAAGTCTCATCGTTACTGATACATCATTTTGTGGCCTTATGTTTGACATGTATACGATGATCCCAAGAGACATGAAGCATTTTATTTAAGAAATGAATAATGGTTACTGTGTTTCCACAGGCTTTTGCAAACCGAGGAGACCTTTGGGATTAAAGAGAGTGCAAACACGAAAAATATCTTTATCGCTTCCGCTTAACCATAACAAATCGAAATTCAAGGAGGTTCTTGGGCTGATGAGCTCTGTTTTCTGTGCGCATGACATTGAAGAATTACTCTCTTTTGGGTAAAATTGAAATGTGTGAAAGCACATGCCGATTTATTAAAATAGAAATAACAAGTATAACATAATATAAATTAATTATTTTACACAATTTAAACAAAATCCTTTACGAAAAAAGTTTTTCAGTTAAGGCAGAAAACGTGGTGGGGTGATAAAAACGCCACCTCGGAAACAAGTCTAAATAGTACATGCAAAATCACAGAGAGAAAGGGAGGGAGGAAGGGTGGATTTTTCGATAAATTTCACCTGGCGACGGCCACCTGCTGAATGATATGTGATTTGTTTGTGCATAACCTATAAGGCTAATACCTGTGCACGTGAATCACACTACGTGCATGTGAACAAAATGCAAATAACTGTAGCCAACATCCTGTTTGCTCTTGTAGCGTCCAAATGAACCTTGGACTCCATGACCTTAGCACGCGGAATTCTTTGAGTAAAAGTAACAAACTTTCCCAGTACTTTTTTATATGTTAAGAGTGTGTCCCACCCTCTCTTTGTTTCCCCTTGATTAACATAACTCTTATTTACAATTTAAACTACAAATAACCCGCGGAAGCAATAAAATTATTATTCGCTTATGCAAATAACTCCTTTATTTCTTTCATAAAAAAAAAAAAACACAATAATGCTGCAGTATGAAAATGTGTAAAAGCTGTAGCAAGATATCTGTCATAATTCATTCTTGAAATTTGGTCTTAGCGGCTAATGGGGTTGCACCGTATTGTTCAATAAGAATTTTTAAGTCACAACAAATTTTATGAACAAGATTGAAAACCAGACATTTGGTTTGTTTACCACAATATGATTTTGTATTATAAATTTTACAAAATTCATTATAAGTGTTTTGTTTCGAGGTTCTATCGTTGAATGTAGATAATAATTTTTTTTTTGATTTGATAGATGGAAGTTCTGCTTTGATATGTTAACGGCATCTGTTAATGTATAGATAACGTTAAAATGTTTTGTGAAAGGAATATATTTCAATCAAAACCATAAAACTCATTAAATATCTTTCCTATTGTTCTTGTAATTTTTCTCAAATTTTTCCTAACCAATTTGAAATAGCCTGTTGATAATTTTTTTAGAAAATTTTCAATTAGGTACAGGTCTGAATTTGAATGTGGATTATCAACAGCAAAGTTGAGCCTTGCAATTTAATCTCACTCATTACCAATATCGTAGATGTACTGACATTTATGTAAAGATGGATGATATTTTGACGCCTTATTGACTGTGTTATGTAATTTTATAAAACAGTTTCGGCGTACAAGTCATTCTGATAATTTAAAATGATAGCATGGCCTGTTCCTATTTTTGTTTGAAATCGTTGAATAGTTGCTCAAATTAATTTCATTGTATGTTTTTAAAAACTTAAATAAATGCAAAAAAAAGTTTAATTTATAAAAAGAAAACAATATGCACGTTGATATAAAGCTATTTGATAAGTTTATTTACTTTTACTATTTACTTTTCAACCTTAAATTCATGTAAATATTTTAAATCATTAACTCAGATTACTATAATTTTTTAAAAACTTTACGCAAATTAATACAAAACGGACCAAAGTCATCCTCAAATAAACGTCGTTCACTCTTACAACTGGCATTGTTTTACATTGCCTGCTTTGTGCTCACATCCCATTTTCTGTCTTCCATATTTATCTGTGATCATTACTTTAATGAAGCCAGTGTGTGAATATTTCCAAGTGCCAAAAGCAATAATTCTTTCTTTGGGGCCTGATAATACAGTATTCACAGCTTGAAATGATTCCAGACCAGACTTGTTCCACTCGATGGAGTACAGCCCATCAAGTTCAAACTCTGCTTTCCAATGGTATGTCAGATCTTGAACAGATTTCACGAGGTTAATTGTAATTTCCTCATTTGGTGGAACATGAACTGTGACTACTGTTTCATCTGTAACTGTTTTTTCTGTTGTATTTATTGCTCCCGTACTCAAAGATTGTGCTTTAGATATTTGTGCAAAAAATATAGTTTTTATCTCTGGAAGGGAAATTTCTTCACCAGATACTTTAAACGCTGTACCAAGTGCTACCGCTGAAGAGGCTCCAACAATGGTGGAAAGGGTGTATGATTCAGTTGTTGATATCAAAAGCTGTTTTTGACAATCATATCTTACCTTGAAGCGTGAGCAAACAACTGGATAAAAATAGGGAACTGACTGAAGTTTAAAAGCATTGTTTGGCGTCTTATTTTTTAGATTGAAGTTTTTTGCGTTTAATTTTAACGTTTTCACATTTGAAGAATCTGATAAAGTGATGCATTTAAAAGTGCTGGCTGTCATTGATTTGTCCATTGGATTTATGGAGCATTTTTTTAAGTTCCCGTTTTTATCTTTCAATCTTACTGCCAGCATTGGGCCAACGTATTTTCCCATTTTACAGCAGTAGTAGTTTTCAAGGCAGAACAAATTGTTACATTTATTTCTATACAAGCCAGTCATGTAATAATTTGATGGACAACGACTCCATCCTCTAAAGTCAAATGATCGTCCGACGTCCTTTTGCTGGCAGTGTCCCCACTGTTTTACTTGCGTTTTAGGCCGACAGCATAAAGCTTTTTCAATATTGGACAATGTATTTCCGGATGATCTGTAGAGCCCAGCCATGTAATAACCATTATTACAATACACCCAACCCTTCCTGTCGAATTCCACCCCCCAATCATGATGATAACAATCGCGATCTTTTGAAGAGGAATATAGATATTCAGGAGCATCATAACAGTCTACTTGTTCTATTTTATAAATTGGATCAGACTTGGTGCTTGTGTTTCTGTACATTCCAGTCATGTATCTTCCATGTCCACATGTTGACCATCCTCTTGAATCAAAGCTACTTCCCCAGTTATCGTAATGTTGTCGATGAGTAGGCTTTTGAACGAGACCTTCCATATCTGTTCTGTAAGCTGTGTTGTTCTGCCATTTCATAGACAATCTTTGAAGAACAAGTTTTGCCACGTTGATGTCGCCAACAACGCTAACAGAATATGCATTTCGACCACCACAGCAACTTCTAGGACTGTGACAAGTCGACCATGATCGACATGAAGTTTTGCAAAAAGAGTCATTGACATTTTTCCCTTCAGGATAGACATTTCCGCAAGAGCACAGATTTCCTTTTGTTGCTGCAATTATGAATTCCTGAGATTTGCACCAAAATTGACATTTGTAGTTGGAATTGTAGCGTCCAAAGTTTCTGATGGTAATTCTTCCTTGAAGGGATGAAAAACATCCATTGACGTCATAGGAAAGTGCAGTTGATGTTGACATTGTTGAATGCAACAAGACTGTTGCTAATAGAAAACAATTAAACAGAACCATGTCCTACAAACAAAAAAATTGTTAAGCGATCAGTTATCTATACTGGAATAATAAATTTCAATTGTTATATTTTTTCAAATTATCAGCGGGCGGAATTATAACCTTTCTGAAATGTGATTGGCTGCATTAGCGGACGGTTTTTTATGATGTCTTGACCGGGGTCCGGTGTCCTATACGGCTTAATACTTGTACAAAAAGCTGTTTTGCTTTGGGGGTTACTTCGTTTTGTTTTGTTTCATTTCATTTTGTTGTAAAAAGGAAATTGTAAGCCAACTTTTGATTGTAATAAACTATTTTAAATACATTTTGAGTTCTCAAGTTAAACGAAGAGCAGCAAAATTTAATTGTTTACTTGGCCGCCCTTATTTAATTTGACTGAGCAATCTAATAATATTGCTACCTTTAGTAAAAAATTAAATACGTTATTTCCCATTTAGGTCTGTCCGGATGGAAAAATATTTCCCCTTGGTCCTGATAAAGTTATTATTATTTTAAGCACATATTGAAAAAAAATGAGATCAAATGTCATGTTGGATTAATACAACACAGTTTAAGTTCATGCTACTGTATTTACACTAGACAATGTCGAAGTAAATTTTACGTACCATCGTAGGATTAAATAAATACAGTTCAAAACGCATTAGCTTTCAGAGTAATACTTGTTTTACCTTGGGACTTTCGCGTATGTAATGTAGCATAGGTGTACAGAGACAATCCCAATTGAGGGGGGGTGGGAAGACTTCACCGCAAGAAAAATGCACCTAATTTTCGCTAAAACAATGCAAGTAAATAAATATTTTTTCACGAACCTATAAATTGTTTGTTTCAAAACATTTACAGTGTTTATATATAATCAGTGATGTAGAAGGGGGGGCGCTTGGGAGAGGAGCCCTCCTTCCTCCGCTAACGCTCGTATGCATAATATATGTAAGGTAGCCTGCTCTTTCACATAGTTCAACCTACACTATTCACTTGGAAAAGTTTCTATTTCTAAGTAAATAAATCATCATAATGTTTTTAGCCATAAATGGAAGAGGTAAATTGCTGGTTTTCGTACTGAATGTTGATCAAAATGCTATTAACCAGAACAATCGAGTATGTTGCAAAAATTTTTTGAACGAAAATCAGATATTGGATATACAAGGAAACCGGGTTATATTTCAGCACCTGTAGAGAAGAGCGCGGAAATACATTAGGGAGCTTTAGCAAAGACTACGAATATGACTAAGAGTACGAAGTACGTCATTTTGGCGCAAAAATATTGTTGCACGTAGCCGTCATCAATCAAAACTTTCATGTATTCCGTATGCAAAATGAAAGGATAACAAACAGTAAAATAGTACAAATATATCGTTCATAAAATGCAAAATAGGGAAGATTTCTCTCTATAGAATTCTATATTCTCGCAAAATCAGTATTATCAATTCATAAATATTATTATTGACAAATAGAGCCGAAGCTACTTCGCAAAACTCGGTGTTTTTATAGTAAGAAGCTCGTTCTGTTGTTTACAGCTAAAACAAAATTTTGACGAAGCAACAACGACAAAAAACTTCCTCGTGCCATTCCCTTCGTACTCGTTGTCGTAGTTGTACTCTTGCTAAAGCTCTCTATTAAAAGGAGAGCAGTGGGTACTGTGCTTTAAACAAAACCTGCTGTGCGTCGTCAAATTGCAAACCAATTAAACAATCGGATCCCATATAAATGTAACCCATTTTATGAAAATTTTCATCTTCATTAGACATCATCTTCCCTTATGAGTTTTTCTGAAATGTTGGATGGTAATGTTGCTCTAAATTTTTGCAGGCGTGACCTCTGGAGCTCCCCGAACGAGACATGTCATTGAAACGAAGATACACTTCTTAACACTAATTTTAAAAATTTGCTTTAATTTAATCAACGCCAATTTTACATTCCTCGCAATTTTAAGTTTGTAGACTTTGCTAATTTTTGTTAGTTTATCGTTAATCAAAAATCATATCGTTAATTATTCACTGTTCATTATCATCAATTATTTTCATTACTTTAACAGCAAATAAAGACTTGTTCTAATTGTGTTCTAGTTGTGTCCTAATTTTGTTCTAATTTTCCTCTCCTTCGCGTTAACGTGATTATTTGCCAATCAATATAATAACACTTTAGCACTACAAGAAACAATTCGAGCTAATTTATATCACGTTTATTTTGTACTTCGATAATTTAATATTGCAAAGTTATTTAACACCAACACCAGTATAAAAGGTGTCCAGTTGCATTGCGATATGTGATATTTTAGCGCATTCACAGTAAGACAAACAAAAAGATTTTAGACAGTGTACCATCTTTAATAAAATAAGAAACGAAGTAATAATCATCGAACTGCTAATTTCCGTGAACATTCGGTTGATTGTCTATTTTTGAAAGACTACTGATTTGCGGCCGTGATTTATGAGTAGTGCAAATCAATCGGTTGATCTTTTTGAATTCTCAGGTTAGCAGTCCGGTAGATCCGTGAGTCGGAATCGTATAGTTTATAAGTACATAATTTTTTATTCGATCTAGTAAATAATGATATAGTATAAATAACATATGTGCTCTGTTTAACAGTATACCAAACGTAAATACATAAACTCACTTCTTTGCCGGGTCCTCACGATCTACATTAATTTCAATTCAGGTTAGCAGATATAATAAAGTAATACAATGATTACGCTTTCGCTCAGGTTAGCATGTGGTAACTGTCAGCTGCACTATAGACTAAAATCCTTTGTGACCCAATGAATATTACGCGTGAAATTACGCGTCAGTTAAAACATGCATAAATTAAACTCTAGTGCTAAATAATTATATCCGTGCAGTTTGTCAGCAATCCACTTTTCTTAGCTAAAGCTGTGGGAAAACATCACAAAACAAAGCGTGTTTATCATAAAATGTATTTATTTTACATCTGAAATGAAAAAAGCCAATACTAAACTTCTAAATCTTTTTCATATATTGCATCGGAACTGACAGTGTCCGGGATGTAAAACTCTGACGCAAATCATACAATGCTCATGACACTGCAAAAGTGACATAAGTATAAGTAAATAAAATGGCGACACTTAAAATTCAAATTTAAATCGCAAAATACAAAATGCAGAAGTACAGTTCACAGTCAATGATATGCCAGATTTGAAAATTCCAAATTTTTTCTACACATTAATTGAAAAATAATTTCGCAAATTTAAGATCTTTTAAATAATGAAAAGAAATATATACTGCCGAACATGATGAATCATATCACGAGCTTAATTTCATATTACAATACCAAACAGACTTAAAACAATGAGCTTTGAAATACCTTCGAATCTTCCCGATTTGTAATCCTGAGCACTTCTAATGTCGTAAAATACCCCCAAAAAGCTATAGCAAACAGCGTATGCTCAGTATACAGAATGAATACAAGTCTATCCAGTTCGTAACTAAATATTTGACGTAACAGCTAAGAAACTCAGGTGCATCGGACGGACAATATAATAGGGGAGGGGGTGTAGATCTAAGATTTATGCGAGATAAGGATACGGCTTGGGTTAGATATTGGCTTTCAAAGTTTAACTTTTATCATTTATTAAAATTGCTGCCGGGCATGTAGAGACGGCGTTTTTATAAAAAAGTGCGGAGCTTGCGTGACGTAGGAACCATTGCGTTTTAATCTTAACTATGCGGATCGTATTTTTGTATGTGAAACGCGTGTTTGACTATAAAAGAAGGCGCACAAAAATTATAATGCATGATCAAAGAAGTGTTTGTTTATGCTTATTTGATCAAGAATTATGATTGGTTCGAAACACAATCAAATACATAATACTATAGAAATGCTAAATAATGTCATTGCTGTTGTCTGATTGCCCGCTAAAACTGACAGAGAAGCAAAAGATCTTCTACACGACAAAATTAATATACTTTGGCATGAAGTTCTTGTTTGTGTTATTTTTCAAATTTATGTACAGGGAAGAATAAGCTTCGAGATGTTTAAGGAAACTCTTGTTCACTCGAAACAAAAATTTGATATTATTCTTAGAGCAAAAGTCATTGCTTATGATTTTGCCAGGTCATGCATTCACAACAAATTCATGTCTGTCTAGTCACAAAATGTTAAAGAAGAATCCTGCAGAAATCTCAATTTTATTGACAATAAGAACATTTGCTTTTGGTGTACGTAGCTAAATATGACAAAATCAAGTCATTTCTATAGCGGTTCTCAAGTGCCACGTAAAGTATATTCTTGTTTTGCTGAAGCCAAATTCCTCTCTTTGTTTGTGACGTACAACATGCCGTAAAAATGACATATAAAACAATGTGGTTATCTAATACAAGTTTAATCACAGTATCACACTTCAGCCTCGTACAAAGATAGCATATTAGCAGGCCTACAGAAGAAAAGCTTAAAGGAAGCAGGTAATAATTCTTTAAGTACTGTATGATTTCACTGTTCATTAAGAAACTACATTACATTTTGAATGAAATTTATCATTTGAGATATTTTCCGGTCGGTTTCTTTGAAGAGTGCTCTAAAGAAAATTTTTTACATTATATGGTTATTCTTTCCCTTCGACTATAGAAATGGAAAATTAGAAAAAATGTTAGTGAATGATGGGAAGAGGCCAAGATCTTTTGAATTTTTCAGCTATTGTAAAATGAATAATGCCATTAAATAGCACCGAAATTGGCTGCTAAATTGCTAATTGCTATAAAAGTAAAAATATTTTGTACCATATATCACGGTTTTGGTGTTTTTAATACTGTCTTATCAACAAACACGTACAAAAGCGCCGCTTGCAAGATTCATATTTATGTCACGTAAAATCATCAACTAATAGCATGATATTTGATAATCATATAACTTGTAAAGCTGCAACGCACCAAGCGCAGGAAACTTGTATTCTGAAACTGCGATTCATCTCAGCACTCTCTGCTATATGTTCCATTTACTCGCCGGGTGATTTGATGTGAAAAAAGGTCGAAAGATAGTGTTTCATTCACAGTGTATTTGATGAATTTTTGAATAAAAATGAAGGAGACAGTCCAAACATTTATAGTAAACATAAATTGCTTACGTACACGTAGTACTAGTGCTCTCACATGGAGAAATCCAACTGGCTTCATACCGAGCAAAAACAATAGAAATTCTATGAGCTACAATACAAAACCACAGTAGGTCCGTATGACATTATTGAATTTAATTAATCTTGCCGATGTAGTCATAACAGAATATAGTACTAATTATGCAAAATTGCAAATTATGATGTATATGAATATACTAAAGATACTCGTGGAAGAGCCTATTAGTGTAACTAAAATATGATTAGTTTTTCAAAAACGCTTACGGTGCAGTTAAGTTTCAATTTTCTTTACCGTATTGCATCTTTAAATAAATTTCGGCATGTTGTAAATCTTTTTTCAAGAAGTTGGAGCAGTAATTGTTGCAAATCTGCTACAGTGAACAATAGGGGGTTAAGCAATAGTAGAAACCTGTGTTTAGATAGATCAATTTATTTGCAGTTGTGAAACAGGAGAGGTTTTATGTTATTATTAATGAGATAAGAATCAGATGCATAGGCCTAGAAAAGCTTCAATTTGGGGGGGCTAGGGGGAGAGAGAGGGAATAAACTTCTTGCCTGAATTTTTAACATATGAAAGAACCATTGCAGTAATTTATGATCACCTGCAGGTTTTGTGGTTAAGATCAATAGGTCGAGTGATATTGAAGCCCTCGATTCGGAAGTGGTGCAGTTACTAGCTGCAAACTGGGGGCGTTGAGGACCTTTTAGTTTCTGAGAGTATTCACCCCCATGAAGTTTTTCATTCCAGGAAGAGTAAATTGCAATTTTTCACATTCTAAGGGCACTTTTAAAAAAGTAATAAACCATGTAACACGATTACAATTCTATGTCGTTAACTAGCCCAAACAAAGAGCCTATTTCTAATTTTAGATGGGGCACCCTCATCCTTATTTGTTTGGTTACCTAATAATCACCACAAAAAAGCAACATATATTAGTTCCTGTTTTTGTAAAACTTCAGCAAAATTGACAGAATACGAAACACAACTTCGCAACTTACTGCAAATTTTCAGTTTTCAGTTTTAGTCTACATTTTTTGCAAAATTGGAGCTTAAACTTCAGGTTTTTTGATCTAACAGAAGTGGAAGTTTTTGAAACTTTTCCTATAAGTTAATGACAATCAGTTGAAAAAATATCAACTGAGGCAGTTTTGCTAACTGATACTTGCATATGCTGAGGTAAAATTTCAGGGCTTAAATATAATAATAACACTGTTCTTACCAGGATCTAATATTTTTAACAGGTTTCAAATACTTGAAACATATGAAAATGCTGTGTCACTCCCTTTTCGTGTTTACGATTCTATTGACAGGTAAGCAAACAAATTTAACAACATGAAAGTCTGTGATTTGTCTGCATACAAATTTCATGAAAAGAAAATAATGTTTGACTAGGTTATTTGAATGAATCCATCAATTACTTTTGTTAAAAGGTGTTCAAAGTAACCATCCAAATTGGTCCTTGCAATCTGGAAGACTAAAACAACTTGATTTAAGTCCATACAACATTCTTTGGGGTGTAAACAGTAATCATCAAATTTTTATACGCAATGGAAATGGGTGGACCTGGGTAAGTGGTAGACTAAAACATGTCAGTGTTGGAAACGCTGGAGTGTGGGGAGTGAATAAATACGACAATATTTATTATCGCGAAGGAGTGACGCTCAGTTCATCATTTGGCACAAGCTGGACCCAAGTGTCTGGTACGGTACAAACATATTTTAATTCTTGTGTCAATTTTTGGAAAACAACAGAAAATTTGTGTTAGTTTAGCTTTGAGAAGCATTTAAACTTGCTGTGCGAGGAATTCTCGTCAAATAAAGGATGCTACTGTTAATCTAGACTAAAATTTAACAATTTCTGCAGATGGTATATTATAGTTGTAGTAGAAAGGCGTTTCATGAAAGGAAGAAAAAGGAAAAGCCTTTGGAAAGCCTTTATTTCGCATCGAAACTTTTTAATATTACCTAGAAAAACAGTACTCGGTTTCATGTTTTTATTTTTTACATTGTATGTATTTCTTGAATTTCACACGATTGCAACTGCAAAGTTTTGTTTACTTATATACTTTTAGCCAATCAGGTTACAGCATTTACAGTGCAATTATGCTGTGCAGTTACTGAAAGAGTGCAGTTACTGAGCAGTTATTTCGATTCAGTTTTAAAAGTGTTTCGATATGTTTGCAGGAGGTTTAATGCAAATCGATTCAGGACCAACAGGAATAGTGTATGGTGTAAATTCTGGGCATAATATATACTGTAGAACAGGAATCACTGCGTCCAATCCCAAGGGAACTGGCTGGAAATGGATACCTGGAGCATTAAAATATGTTAGCTGTGGAAAATTTGGCTGTTGGGGTGTCAACAAACACAATTATATATATTTCCGAACAAGAGTTACTGCATCTAAATGTGAAGGATTGAATTGGGTCAACATTCCAGGATTACTGAAACAGATTGAGGTATGAGTTTTTTGTTGCAAAATTTGTGTCTTTGCCATGTTTTGTGCGCATCTCTTTCTTACCATTAGCACACAAATCCTGCTCACTAACTGTTTGTTTAAATAACTGCTTATTTTGTGATTCATTTTAAATTTTAACAACGCACAAATACATTATACACTTAATGTATGATACGAAGAAAATAATGTGTTTTGTTTTCCAAAGTCTCCGGGAAACATTGCATGAGAGTCGAGGGAAAACAAAACTCACAGTTTTCCGAGAGAGCACATTAAATGTTTTGTTATGGCTACATAGGAAAAAAGATCATACATTTCAAATCCTTTTGAATAAAATCAGTGTCTTTGAAGGAGATTCATCTGGAGAAATTTTATAGTTAATCGACATATAGGAGACCACAGCATTTTGGGCGACTTCCGAGTGCTTTCTAAATACTTTTACGGATAGATTCACAATTGTAAATAGAAACAACCAGTATTTAATGTTATCAAGAACACAATATTGAAAGCGTCCAAACTGAGCTAATGCCCTCTGGGCCCAAGGATCTCGCTGAGTTTATCGTACGAAAAGGATCGGGTAACAGTATAAAGCGATACTGATGAACCAAACTAAAAAAAATAGAAAGAGAACTGTAAAAATTGTAAATTTGACTTTTCGAAGCGAATTGAGCGAAATTCGTACATCTTCAGGATCAGTAAACCACACCAGATTACAAAATAGAAGTAAATTTGTCGAAAAAACTTTCTATAACCAATTTACAATCAAAAGTTACTGTTACCAGTCAAAAGCATTTGCCAATCAAAGAGTCAGACAAATGAAGAGTTAGTGTGATTGTTTGTCGAGCATTGAAGATTTTCTTCGTCCTTAACATTTGTAGTTTTTTGTTTAAAAGCAAATTCATTTTGCTGTAAAAAATGCATTGCACATACATTTCCTAGAAGTTAATTACATGAATTAGTAGAATTTGCATAGAATAATTAGTAGAATTTGCATAGAATAATTAGTTAATTCACAGCTTAAAAGGAGGCTATACAGCTACAACTCAAATATTTCAAAACATTTTGCTCGTTTTTCAGTAGTTTATCAATTTATGTATTATAATTTAAAAGAAATCACTATTTACAGGCGACAGAAAGTGGTGCAGTTTACGGTGTGAACATTTACAGAACATTATATGTTCGTGAAGGATCAGCTCCTGTAATCCTACTGGAACACATTGGAGATCCATTGCTGCTCCTAAATTTGATCATGTGTCAGCTAGCTTAACTCATGTATTCGGAATTGATCAAAATGACAAAATCTTTAAGTTTAATGGTAAGTTAAACTACTTTTATGGTTTTTTGATGAATGACTAGCAAATGTTTAACATGAATTGTCTTTTATCCATATTGGTCCTTTTGAATATTTCGCATGTACTTAATTAAAACTGTGCAAATATGTAGTTTATAGTTTGTCTTTGGATTTTCCAGATGAAAGTATGAGCTGTTTTTCATTAGTTAAAATAATTGAAAATATTCCACTGACTCTTAATTTTGCAAATTAAGGAATGTAACTTTGTCTCCTATAGGCTACTATGCATTATTTTCTGCAAGGGAATTCTATGCTATATTATTTACTCAATGTTTCTGAGACAAAGTCAAAGTTATTATTTCCAGAGAAGCTATACCTTGCCGAAAACATTGCGTGTATTAGAGATATGTCTATAAATAAATAAATCAAATTTAACACACACAACACTTACATAAAAATCTCTCTGGTTTTGACATCACCGGCGTACTGATGCTCACATATTTCGACACTTTTTTCAACATTCGTCATAACAAATTACTTTGGCTTTTACGAAAGATATGCTAATCTACTTACTGAGCACTTCTTGTGTGAATTATTATGTCTCATGGGTTCTGTTAATTTGCATCACATTCCCTTCTGCATAAGACTACATTTATGGAAGTACTTTTAAAGAGTGTTAATAAATGAATTTTCAATCTTTCTTCAAACAATAATTTAAATTAGAATTTTGTTTTTCTTTTAATGTTTTCCTCTAAAAAGTAAACTTTCTTGCATTTACCTAAATCCAACATGAAGTTGACGTAATCTATAACTCACAGTTAATTCAGTTTCATGTTTTATATTCCTTAAAGCTATTATAATACTTGTTAATTATGCTTTTTTTCATCTATGAACAGGACAATGGCGGTTGATACCAGGCTCACTGAAACAAATTGATCACAGTCTTTCTGAGGGTGTTTGGGGTGTGAACTATCATGACGCTATTTTCCGCCTTAACAAAGATTATACATGGACTCATATTTCTGGCGGCCTAAAGCACGTTTCTGTTGGTGCAGCAGGTGTTTGGGGAGTAAACAAATACGATAGCATATATTACTTTTTGGACGGGTCTTCATGGCAGCGTATATCTGGACGCTTAAAACAGATCGATTCTGGTCCAGAAGGGATTGTTTATGGAGTAAATAGCAACAACGACATTTTCTGTCGTACAGGTATTCAATTGCAATTTTTTAGCATAGAGTACGATTACGAGTAGGAAGTACGTCATTTTGGAGCAAAAACATTGTTGTGACAACAAAAACAAGTAGCCGTCATCTGTCTGACTATACGATGTTCTGTTAAAAATTCGTAGTCGTGACTACGATGCCTTAATTTTAAAGCAAAGAAAGCAGGTATATTTTTATTTTCTAAGAAATTGTTTTACAATACTAATTTCAACAATCAAGGCCTTACACGGTCAAACTTCGTCTTTGTAATGACCAGCGAACTCTATAATTAAATGTGACGATACTTTGCCGCCATCTTTGAAGCCAAGCATATCGCTTTTTTGTTTGTATGATCCAGGCCCAGACATGGGTTTGTAGGTATGATCCATACTCCTGGATACAATGCAGACACGCGGTCTTGTTCATTATCCTTACGAAAAACAATGAGCAATTTTAATAGAAGTTAAATTCTTTTATTTTTTGAGCTAAATCCAGCATTATTTTACCAGAAAGCAAAAATACATGATAGCTTTTAAGAACATGTAAATTTTGGGCACTTTGATGAATTTGGAAGTTTCGGATGAAGGAAGGCAACATTGGGGAAAAAGCAAATACGTAATGGTTTCAAAACATTGTTTTTCTCATTTTCCATGACGAGTTTGATAAAAAAAAGAATGAAATGCTCTTTTTAAGTATTTCTTACCTTTTTTCATCTATTTAATGTGTTATATGTCAGAAAAATAAGAAATCAGCATTTTGATCAAAAACTAAAGCTTTCAAGTCGTGTAAACATTTTGCAGACTAAAAACAATAATCGTCAACATCTTCAAATGACTTTGTCATAGCTTATTTTTCAGAAAAATGAACTTGTCATTAAAAATTCTCTATACAACAATCGTAAAGTTTAAGAACACGACATATTCAAAGTTTTCCAAACGTATTACTAAAATAGCATGTTGTGAAACATTGCCATGTTTTCTATATTTGTGACAATCTACGGACACAACTCGCGTGTTATATACATAAAAAATCACTCTATATCCTCCATATTAGGGCTTCATTTTATCATATGGCTTTTGTATTGGAGTTATCGTTCCAGTGTTTTAATAGAGTCCATTAGAGGTGACTCGTAGTCGTATAAACGTATTCTTACTAAAGCTCATATATATTTAATCAAAACATGACGTCAAATTTGGCAAATAAAAGTAGCAACGGCTATTTTTTCTGTTTACAGCACGTTGATAAGTTTTTGGAAAAAATACAAAATAATACAAATGTAATCTTTTAGGACCTCTCCTCTGACGTTCAACTACTTGACTAAACAATTGACTAAAAAATATCTTTGAGTAAAAAATATTTTTAATCATTCGTTGAAAATATATCGTAACTTCCCTATTCTATTAGGCATTTCAACTAATAAGCGTCAAGGAACAGGATGGAAACATGTTTCTGGTAAATTAAAATACATCAGTTGTGGTGCATTGGGATGCTGGGGTGTAAATGGTAATGACCAAATTTTTTACCGTTCCGGCGTATCTGCGCAAAATTGTGCTGGAACAAGTTGGACTCATATCGGAGGAGGTCTTAAGCAAATCGAGGTTTGTTGATAATTCAATTCTCACTCAAAGATAAAAGAGCATGCTGCACAATTTTTTATTTTTTGTTTTTGAAAAGCAACCCAACTTTTATGAAATTTAAGCGCGTAGTTTAAATTACAAAAGAGTGGTGACTGATGTTAGTAACTCTAAAATGAACACCATCAGCCAAAATAGGTTTTTCTAAAAATTTTGCTGCAAGTTGTTCTAGACGTACCACATTTAGATTAGTGGTTATTGTAATAACATAAGCTTCATGATGATCGTTCCAATTTAGGTTTTAATCTTTAGAAAATAAAAAATCCCTTTGCCAAAAATTTTTAGATTCTTAACAATTAAGTTTATTGACAATAAACATCTACTGTGAAACCAATCACCATCATTTAAGTACTTTTTAGGAAAGCTGCAAAAAATTTAAATAGTTCTTTGTCATATATTAAGACAAATACGCGGTAACAATTGCCTGTTTAAAGAACTGTTTCCAACTCAATTTAAGATAGTTATGATTTTAAAGATACAATGCGTTTCAGCAGACTTCTCATTTTGTGCCACGTCTCCTTTGATTAAAACCAAAAATCTCCTTTTATTTATATTGCACTACAATATAATTCCACTAAGACAAAACCTTTTAAGCTTTCTAGTTTTCGCTGACCATGGCAAACACACCGCTCAAAGCATTATTTACTATTATTACCACGACCATGCAAGTCTATGTTTTACAACAAAAAGGTCTCTTTCAATTAAAAAAATGAGAAAAATGAAGTTTGCACTTATTATATATACAATGACAAAGAACGCTGGTATCTTCGATCTTTTGAAAAAGTTTTATGAAGGTTAATCAAACTGGCACAAGCTACTCAGTTACAACTTCCAACAAGCATACTTCAATTCTCCTATCCAAAAGCTATTACCAATATACGAGCTAAAAATATTTTGATGAATTTTACATTAGATTTTAGTAGGCTACTGGCATAAATCCTGTGTGGGTTTTTTTATAACTGTAAATCTAATTTTTTTTATGTAGTAAATTATACATTTAAATTCGAATTATATATATTGACAATGTAATTATTAAAAATAGCATATCACTATAACTACCTAGGCACGCCACCCACACACCCAAAAACATACTAGACATAGTATTTAAAATGAAATTATACATATTGACAATCTAATACATAAAATGAACCATGCATATAACTGCCTTCACAAGCCAAATCCAGCACAATTTTCCCGCACACAACAAACAATTAACTACAAAAAGGTAAATTGATTTAACAATGCCTGCCTGAACAACATTTTTCTTTTAACTGGAAGGAGGATCACTGGTAAGAAATGAAAAAAAATTCAGTCCCAGACTCACTGAAACCATCATTAACAGTTGCTGAAACGATTTCAGCAACTTGAACAATCATTTAAGGTGGCTCGATAGGAAAAAAATCAAGAAAAATTCAATTTTTTGAAAGTATCATTTTTTGACAGTTTTACTAATAATCTTTCATATACAATAGAGTTTTATAATACTAGGCTTTTATTTTACGTGATTTTAGAGGTTTTCTAAGATGCACCACAAAATTTTTCATTGGTAACCATGGAAACCACATCAATTTTTTTAAAAATAACCATGCTATACAGTTTTGCATGGTGATTTTCATTTTGTTTTGTAAAAGTAGAGTCCTTACAAAGAGGACTGGTAAGTAGCCCACTTACATCACCTGGTTACCAAGTTAGAATGTTCATGCATTCATGCTTGTAAAGAAAGTCAGTGAAATACTTTGTTGTAATCGCGTCAAAATCTGGTCAAAATGTGGTAAAATTATACAAATTTTATTTTTTTTATATGTTATTATTTTCTTGTAGTTGTATCATTTAGCTTAGAATTTGATCTGTGAATTGATAATTACGAAATTAGTGTTTTAATATTTTTTTCTTTTTTAAGGCTGGGGCAGCTGGTGATGTATATGGAGTAAATAGTAACAACGTGGTCTACCGTCGAACTGGTATAACTACGGCATCTCCAATGGGCTCAGGTTGGATAGTTACTTTGTCATATGCTTCATTCGTGACCACTGGCATTAAAAATCAGTTTGTTTTAGTTGATGGAAAAATTTTTGAATCTCAAGGTTTGTATATAGTTTCTATGAATTCTAGTTGCAAGTATTTTTACCTTTCAATTAATTGAACATAATGAAAATATTTCTAAAAATTCTATGAAATCGGTAATTCCTATTTCTGTGCATTCTAAACTTGGTAAAGAATGATATGCCAATAAATCATGAGAATTGTCAGAAATAATAAAAGGAAAATAATTCACAACTATTAATTATTTTATCAGGTTAGCATTACAAGGTGTTCTCTTAGCAACATGGCTGAATACCCAACTTTGATTTTTGATTGTATTTTCTTCCAGATCAAACGAAGCGCTTTCCTTGAAGAAAAAACATATTTGGCTGTGACGGAATAGAGAAATGTTGATGTAGTTTTGGCATGAAGTATCATTTATTTCTAAAGTTTTCTGTAGCTTAGATAAGTGGTAATGTACACAGTACATGTAGTTTTCTCTATTTTTGATAAAAATGTATAACGTACGGCAAGCAGTTCTTTATTTCATTTTTAAAAGTAATATAGCATGATATACTCCTCATCTTTCCACAAATAATATTCAAAATAATTACAAATTAAAATAAGGCGCGAACTTATACATAACATCTGCATGACGCCACTGTCAAACCACTATTTCGAAAAATGCAAAATTTGCATGACTAAGCAATCAAACTCACCGATGCGGTATTCCATAGGACGAATTATTAAGTTTTTCTGGCGTCAAATAATCTCAAATGAAAAAAATTGCCAGTTTCCCCAGCATTGATTAAAACTATTAAAGATAACGCCGTACACACAATGGCAACCAAATTCTTTACGTGCAGTTATGTTGACAAGAAAGAGCAGTGGGAGAGAGGTTTTTCTCAATAAAGACTAGGTCTGTATACAATGCATCGACGAAGTGATTCAACCAGTAATTTAAATGAAATAAAATCAGAATATTTAGTGATTGAAAATCATTGTTTTTGACGTCAGTGGGAGTGTAGAAATAATTAAACATAGCATACCAAAATTGACAAGCTAACTATATGAATATTTATATATTCCGTTGTGCCCAACTAATTAGGTTTATTGTAAAAACTTAACTATAAACCCAACAAGAAAAACGTTGCTTTTGCTTTTTCCCTTGTTAAAAAGTTGAACAGTGTTCTGTGGTGAGTATTGTCATTGGTTAACTTTCTTCTATAAACTGTTATATGTGTCTACAATCTTCATGGTCACCACGAAAAGGCTACTAGTGTCTAGTAAACTGCATTCTATGCAGAAAATTTTAACTATTTTGACGATTTTAATGTGCACCTTTTTTCTAAGCATGGGCACGGTCCAAAGGACAAAATACAATCTGGGGCGAACTAGAACATTAACTCGAGGTATATATTCACATATTCAGCTTTGCCCTGCTGATTTCTTTTGTTTGCGATATTAATCTCAAAAGAAATCAGCCTGGCAGAGCTGAATATATGAATATTCCTCCCCCCCCCCTCCAATTAACTTTCTGGTTTCGCTCCTGAATACAATCCAGCCATTGTATTGATATTGAGAAGCATTTACGCTTAGCGCAAAAATTTAGCACAATAGCAATCAATCAATTTCCTTTATAAACAAGAAAAAACGCCAAAATGGCGTAATTTGGTCAAGAATATAACTAATTTTACGTCATAAAGATGTACAGGAAAGTTCTCCTGACTGTTGATTCATTGAAAAATATTATGGGTAAAGCAAAAGATCAATAGAGACTTACCACAGATGACTTGCCTTACTTACGTTTTGCTGGCAGGTAGATTTGGTTGAAGGCAGGAAGGTTGCTCATACTAATTTAAAAAGTCAAGAGGATGAGAAGAAGGGAAAGTGCCAGCAAAGGATTTTGGATGTAGAAATGGTGGCTAGTAAACAAAATGCCAACCATCGACTCTTAAGAATGCTTTCTTCATAAATTGCAATAAAATATCATGAACGATATTTAAACTATCAACTGGCGAAGAACGTTGATTCTTTTGGATATGATAAATCAGTACATTTAAGTGCATAAGGGGATCAAGGTTATCGTTTTTGAAAAGAAAATGATTTTATCGATGACTACACTTTTAATTTTAGTAACATAATCTTTCAGCAAACATTTTAGTTAATAAACATCTAATAAAAACGACATTTTTTTTATAGCAAACATGTTTCGGCATTAACAAAATGCCATCTTCAGCGCGAATGATAGTGTTACGAAATATGATACAGTATAAGAAGTTATGAATAAACTATTTACATTGACAGCAAGAACTTGCTTTAAAATCATCGACACCGATCAAAAACTTTCTCTTTCAAAATCACAGAAACTTTTCACATCAATAAAACTAATCCTAATTTAAATGTTCAAATTCACCATTATAACACTGTTTTACTTTATAATACGTCTTTATAACTTCTTTTATCACTATTTCTAATGTAAATACTTGTTTATTTATATGTATTTTTTGTTTTAAACTTACTTTAAATAAATCATAATCCCATTCAATGTAAATATATTATTCATAATTTCCTATACTGTATCATATTTCGTAACACTATCATTCGCACTGAAGATGGCATTTTGTCAATGTAGAAACATGTTTGCTAGAAAAAAATTGTCGTTTTTATTAGACGTTTTTTAAATTTGTTACTACTCAGATATTATTTTAGTTTTAATCTTAACGATTTAATAATGTTTCCTTAAGTCTATAGTTGTCTATAAATCAAAAGTTGCTGAATTTACTACTATATGAAATAACTATTTTTTTTTGACTCTGAAGATGACTACCGCTAAGGTTGTTGAAACGTCAGTCAACAACAACAAAAACAGTCCTTCTCAGGACTATACCAACCTGGACGATCTACAATTACAAACATGTATTATTTTTTCGTTAGAAAATGTACTTATGGAAACACAAAATCAAAGCCAAGGAAATGTGAAAGAGCTCTTTCAACCAAATATAACATATCGCAATCGAAACAAATGAATTCATTTACTCTTCATGTCTTATTGAGAGATCAAGTCAGTGGCGCCGGATCTAGTTCTATCAGAATACAATGCTGAAAATATTTTTCCATTTTAAAATATGTTAGAGCGATTCCTATTGGGGTATTTTAGTCTTAAATATCCGTTAGAAACTTTTAACCAACAGTGTTGTTTATAAATTCCTTTGAATTTTAAATGACTGCTATAATTTATTTTGACCTGCCGTAATCTAAGTCCGCCACAGGATAAAGTTTAGATTTAAAGAGGTTTATTAGATCTTATAGTTTATTAACAGCATTTAGATCATGTTCAATGTTTTCCCAAAATCGAGCTTTCACTTTTGTTGTCTGAACTCTAAATAATCAAAGCAATTCCAAAGAGATATACTATGTAAACACAGGAGTAGGCAGACTTCTCATTTTAAAGACACAATGCGTTTCGGCAGACTTCTCATTTGTGCCACGTCTCCTTTGATTAAAACCAAAATCTCCTTCTATCGCTTCCGCTTGATCATAACAAATCGAAATCCAAAGGAGGTTCTGGGGCTGATGAGCTCTGTTTCCTGTGCGCATGACATTAAAGAGTACTCTCTTTTGGGTAAAAATTGGCAATGTGTGAAAGCACATGCTGATTTATTAAAATAGAAATGACAAGTATAACATAATCTGAATTAATTATTTTACAAAATTTAAACAAAAATCCTTATGAATAAAGTTTTTCTGTATAGCACAGAAAAGGTGGGGTGATAAAAACGCCATTAGCCTCCTGAGCTAAGGAGGCCGCCCCAGCCCATCAGCCGCAGAAACGCCTGTACAATAAACATATAAGAACACTAATAATTTTTTAAACGAGTAAGACAAATGGTTAAGAAGATGAGACCAAATAACTATGAACGTACCACAACTGTTAATATATGAGTGAGATAAAGATATATCAATCCCACATGCTTTGCTGTTAATTGTGAACGTAGCCCCTGCATCCGAACACAGAATGAACACAATGCAAAACGAAATCATGCAGCCGCTAGCTTAGCCTCCGCATCAGCTAAACGACAGTAAGTAAGATCATTTTGCATAACCTCAACTACAACAGAATATGCACTATGGTCATTCGTCTTTCCAAACAAGAATGCAGCCACCGTAAGTCCGCAGCCATTACAACAAGAAACATTTAAACTTGGAGCTCTAATGTATTTGTGAAATCAGGTGCGTCTTTGGCGTTACTTATGTATGAAAGATATTGCACACATGGACGCAACCGGAACGATTGTGCAAGATTTCATGGGCAAAAGAGTACTTTATTATGCAATTATTATTCGACACCCAAAGAAAGGAAATCCATCATTGCCAATTGCCTAATTGATAACGAATGATCACAGTGCTCCCAGCATACGTTCCTTTATTGAGAGGTTTCGTCGAAATGAGGCAAACGTTTTCAAAGGAAACGTTCGAATACCTCGTCAGTTAAATACAGATTACTCAAAGGCGTTGATATTGGCTGCTCTGAAAGAGTTCAACGGAGAAACCCTTGCTCAGTTTTTACTTCGAGCATTCAGGATTGTGCAGAGCATAGCATCCAACGAAGACTTTGCATTTATGGTTTCACATGTTGGCTGCAGTCATTTCAAGAACATAATTCACAAGCGTTTAAAATCAATTATGCGTATCAAAGTCAGTACGGCAAACGAGGTGTGGTATCGCTTTAATATGTGTTGTCCGTCGCTGTTGGTAAACTCCAGAACCCAAGAAGAATTTAATTATATTTTTCTACCTGTTGCAATTTGCTTGCTTCATAAAACTCAAAATGATGAAGTCCAAAACGCGTTCAGCACCTTATGGAAATTGATCCATGCAATGGAAGAACGAGAAAAAATCCTTGAACATGTTGACGTGCATGGAGTCTTTTCAAATGCAGGCAACGATGATGTCGATCTTACTGAAACAGACAGAAATACAACTTAAAATCCATTAAAAAATCATTACGATAGCTTGCTACGAAATGTCAAAGAAAGTGTGATGGAAGATGCTCAACAAAGCAAGCCAAATAATAGATGCTACGGACCAGAATTTTTTGCATTCATATAGTCTTATCTTTGTGAGATGCCGTTGTGGTCTGGTGTACTTTTAGGTTCATTAGACCGATACATAGAGGAGAACGATCGAGTTTACGAAACTTTACACGACTATCCGCACCTTTCATTCAAATCAATAAACTCAAAAACAGAGGGCTATGTGGAAGGTGTCATGCGAAACTTAAAACAAGAAGATGTTCCAAAGAAAAGAAAATTGCGTCCTGATGCATTTGTTTTAGAAAATTATGACAGAATTGGGTGACGAATGACAGGTTTCTCGGATAGACTAACTGCTAATAAACCTACCAGAAAACAAAGAGGTCCAATAAATTCTTCGAAAAATTTTCAGACGCAAACATTGGACAAAACATCTGCAAAAGGAATTGATCTAAAATGAAATACAAAAAGAAGCGAAAGCAATACTACCGTAAGTA